TTAGCCCCTGTGATGATCCCGTGTCCTTTGAGAAAAACTCAAAATTATCCTTTGGGACCCCTCAAAGCAGGTGCCAACATATTTTGAGCTGATCTCCCTGCCTTAAATTAACTGGCCCAACACATCTCTTCAGATGCCAGTGTTCTGAGTGGATCGGTGCAGGTGAAGGCAACTTAAAGAAACTAACACAAGTGGATTACTGATCTCTTGGTCACCCACTGATGACAGAGATATGTTTAAATATGTTCTATTTGGAATAAACCATGCATGTGCAAACTAGAACCCGAGTATCAATAAGATTTTATTTACCCTTGTGTGTGTGTGTGTGTGTGTGTGTGCTGCTTCTCTGGTGCACTCTAAGTCAAACTCCATAAGGCAACTAAGCAGAGGAAAAATGCATTTGATATTTCAATCAATTATGTCTTTCTAGAGCTTTTGTCAATGTAAAATCTCGTATGCTAAGTATTAAGTTTAAGGTATAGGGTTATATGCATTGGGCTCTGGCTAGGAGCCCTGGTGGCACAATGGTTTCATGTTGGGCTGCTAACCTCAAGGTCAGCAGTTCAAAAACAGCAGTCACTCCAAGGAAGAAAGATGAGGCTTTCTACTTCCATAAAGAGTTGCAGTTTCAGAAACGCACAGGGGCAGTTCTACCTTGGCCTATAGGGATGCTCTGAGTCAGAATTAACTTGATGGCAGTTTGAGTTTGGTAATTGCATTCGCTATCCCAGACAAAAGAACAAGGTTGAAATATCTATTTATGAGGCAAAGCAACAGAGCAATTATTACGGTGCGATTTCAATTATACACCCGGACACCCACCAAGCACTGTTTTCTAGGAACATCACAACATACGTGTCTTCCTCGTCTAGTCGAGGTTCAAGTCTCTCGGGATCCAAAACGACAGAATCATGAACTCCATCAACACTGTCTGATGGTTCTGCTCCTTCAGACAGGGGGCCCCTCAAGAACCCATCGGAGCCTGCGGAGGGACAGGAACAGAAATGATGCCAGCTGAAACAGCACGTGCTTATTTCCTGTGCGTTTGATGAACCTCCTCTAAACGCCTGCCATCTAAATGAGGATAATGCCAAGCCCGAAAACTCTTTTGAGGTGCCTTCCTGGATCACCCGGCATCATCCGGTATCGTGTCTAGCATAAAACCTTATGCTGCACTAGTAAGCATCAGTATGTGGGTGAAATTTTAAAACAGGGCTTTTACCCACAGGGTTTAAAAAATAACCTCAGAAATTTTGGAAATCCTTCAAATATTTTTTTAGAAACCTATATTGTAGCATGACACGTTATCTTTGGGTAGTGAGTTTAGCTTTTTTGTTTTGCTTTTTGAGTCTCCTCACTCTCACCAAGTTTTAATAATGGAGGGAGATGAAAGTAGGGCATTAAAGAAAGACCCCATGCACATCATGGAAACATTTTCCAGACTGAGAGGCCAGATGGCAGGCAGGGCGAGCCAGCTCCATACTCCCAGCCTGCTCCCACAAAAACACCCAAACAAACTCCAGGCAGTAACTGGCAGAGCCTACTGTGTCAGAACTCTAGACACCAGCCATGAAGTGAATGGGAATAATTAAAAAAAAAGTTTTTTAAAGGCACCTCTGAATGGTAGGAAAGCTTTGGTTTTCTATCCACCTACACCCACCTTCCTCCCTCCTATGCCCAGCTTCCTCCCTGGCTCGGTGTGTACGTTTAAAAGTGGTGGCAGCGCAGACATCTGGGCAGTGAGCAGAGCAGGCATTAATCACACTAGTGTGTCTTTGTTCTAATCTCTCTGGGGGCTCTCCATAGGAACGATGCAGATGAACAACTAGAGTGAATCCTGTTCTAGTCAGTGCAGTAGAGCCCTATCACACCACTCCATGCTCCATTCCACAGAATTTAGATCTTAACCAAGGTGGCTTAGTCATTGAATGATCAAACTCATACACACATAAATACGCTCCCCTGATGCAGCCCTGCCCTGTTCTGAATCCTTAAGGATAATATAGTAAAGGGTAATATTTTGCCCAGCTTGGTGACAGCATTCCTAGAAAATGTAACAGAATCAAATTCTAATTGTTCATCTTTGGCAAGCTCTTTGGAGTGGTGCGGTGGATTAAGCTCTGGGCTGCTAACTAAACAGCTCTTTGAACCCACCCGTTGCTCTTGAGGAGAAACATGAGGAGCTTCTGTCGAGGCTGACAGCCTGGAAAACATGAAAGAAACTCAAGAATAGAACAGGCCAACTGGTCAGAGACTGGTAGGGTCCCTGAGACAATGGTGCTCAGTTCCCTTCTGAGTCACCCCGAGACTTGGCTCAATTTTCAGGTCTACAAGGTGAACAGTAATATTCGGAGGTACCAATACCTTTGAATAATCAACTATTTGCCATCCAAAGGACAGCGTTTACCTAAGCCACCAAGTTCAGAAGGGTTAGGTAAGGAGGCATGGCAAGGGGAAGCTCAGCGGATGGGGGAGGGGGCGGGATGCAATCCTTGGGACGAAACATGAATGTGTGTGGGCTGTTGAATGGAAAATCGATTTGCTCTGCAAACCTTCAAATCACAATAAAAATGAGAACCTCACACAAAAAGCAACCAATGAAAGAGTCACAGCTGCAGAAACCCCGTGAGCAGTTATTCTCCTCTGCGCTGCAGGTCACCACGGAGCAGTTATTCTCTGTGCTGCAGGTCACCGTGGAGCAGTTACTCTCCTCTG